GGTTTTAACGTCAACGGTCGAGCGTGGCGAACTCTCGCGAAGCAATGCCCGTGAGTTGCCGTTTTCGTGCCTTTTCTCGCCCTTGTAACCTTTCGTCCAATCCATCCATTTACCCATCCATCCATCCATCCATCCATCCATCCATCCATCCACTTCTCTCAACCTCCCGTGTTTCGGCGAACTCTTCTCTCAATCTTCAACCAGAAGCCTTTTTGAGGCGCCTCAAAAAGTGTTTCGGCGAACTCTTCTCTCAATCCTCAACCAGAAACCTTTTACATCCAGCCGCCTTACCACCCTGTTCACCCCTTTCAATTCTCATCTCTCCCTTCTCCTCTCCGCCCTTCCTGCGAGTAAATAGTTGCAAGTCCTCTCTTTCCTCTTCCTTACCCCCTTCTCCCCTCGCCTCTCCGCCCTTCCTGCGAGTAAATAGTTGCAAGTCCTCTCTTTCCTCTCCCTTCCCCCACTTCTCCTCCCCTCGCCTCTCCGCCCTTCCTGCGAGTAAATAGTTGCAAGTCCTCTCTTTCCTCTCCCTTCCCCCCCTTCCCCTCCCTCGCGCCTCCGCCCTTCCCCCTTGGTTCAGGCTCTTGTCTTCTTTGGAGCTAGACTGTGGATTTGCGCGCTCGCGTCTCTCCTACATGCGACAGCCTCCACTCCCTCCCGTGGACCTCCTCCCCTCACTGCAGTCCCTCACTCTTCTCTACGTTCCGTCGGACTTCCTCCCCATTACCCGCTGCTCCTCCCTCACCTCCCTCACCCTCTGGAGCCCTGAATCCTCCACTCTTTCCTCCCTTGCCTTCTCCTCCTCCTCCTCTCTTGTCTCCTCATCCTCCTCCTCCCGTGCTTCCTCCCCCCACCTTGCGTCCTCCCCCCCATCCTCTCTCCGCACATCTCTCACATCTCTCACCATCCACTCCGCCAAAGTTAAAGCCTCCCTCGCATCCCTCGCCTTCTTCTCCTCCCTCGCGTCCCTCTCCCTCCACTCCTGCACCATCGACCCTTACGAGCTTCACTCTCTCTCGCTCTCCCTCCGCTCTCTCACCCAGCTCACCGTCCACTCGTCCCCACTCAAATCCACCCACTCCCTCGCCCCCATTCTTCAAGCCAACCCCGCTCTCTCCTCCCTCTCCCTCCACGGCACCACCTACCGTTTCTTTGCCGCACAGGGCCTCCGTTCCCTGCTCTCTCACTCCTCCTCGCAGCTCCACTCCCTCCACCTCGCCGGCCTCCCATCCTTCCGCCCGGGCTTGCTTGCAGCCTGCACGCGCCTGCGGTCGCTGGGTGTGGAGGGGGTGATTGCGTCTGAAGATTGCCTGCTGCCAAACAATGTGTCTCTGGACTGCCTTGTGGGAATGCTGGTGCGGGTGGAAGAGATGGGGCATGCGGGAGGGCGGGCAGGAGGGGAGGCTGGAGGGGAGGGTGGAGCAGAAGGATGGGAGGAGGGAACTGCAGGTGTTTCTGCACCAGCAGCTGCTGCAGCGGCACGGGTAGCAGCGCGGGCAGTGGCAGGTAGGGGGAGCAGCAAACGCTGCAAAAAGTACGTGGATTTTTGCACAGAGGCAGCGGCGGCTCAGGCAGACAAAATCGCATCAGCCGGTTCTGTGATCGACCTTTTCAAAGAAGCCGACGAAGCCACAAAGGCTGCCCGTTACGCTGCGCTTTGGGCGGCACGAGCGGTGGGCGAAGACGCCGTGCCTTGGATTGCCGCCAGCCTCGGGAAGATCAGGTCCGGGATCTCGGCGTGCCGATCCTTCTCTGCTGCTATCCGTGCGTCCAATGCGGCTGTCGAGTGGGAGGAGAAGCTGAAGATCGCATTCGCTGGTGCTGATTCCAGTGTAGATGCCGCTGCTGCTACTGATTCCAATACAGATGCTGCTGCTGGGCAGGCGGCAGGGTTCTTTGCTACAGAGATGAATGGTGGAGAAGAGGACGGGGATGGGGAGGGGGAAGGAGATGACATCAGGGGCTTGGATGGCATGCTGCCGGCTGATGGCCTGCCTGATGATGTGTTGGGTGGGGTGCGGTCCAGTGCGGTGGAGACACGTGAAGAGGGGTTGCGGAGGCAGCGGGAGCTTCTGGAGGAATTGGACGAGCAGTTTGCTGCCATGAACGCCAGCTTCCAGTCGCTGCGCCAGCTCAACAGAGCGCTGAGAGCCACGCTGGCCACACCAGATGCCGCAGCACCAGTGGGAGATGCAACAGCAGCAGCAGCGGGAGCAGCGGCAGGAGCAGTGGCAGGAGCAGCTGCAGGAGTAGGTGGGGCAGCAACAGCAGCGCATGGAGGGACAATATCTGGGGAGGGAAGAATAACAGCGCGCGGGGTGGGAGGAGGGGCTATGGCGGCAGGGGAGGGGGTAGTAGGGGAGCCGGCAGCAGGGCAGGCAGGATTAAGGGAGGCAGCACGAGGGGATGGAAAGCAGGTAGGCATCCGCAAGTCAGCGTGCAAACTTTCTAAAGGGTGCCAGGCAGCAATCCCTGTGCAAGTGTTCTGCCCTCGCCTGGAATCCTTAACCCTCCACGTGCTCTACTTCTCTAGCACTCCCCGCACCTGGCTGCCTCCTACCCTTCCGTCTGCACCTCCTCTCATGTATCTCTCCTCCCCCCCGCCTTCCTCTTTCCACACATCGTCCTCCTCCTCCTCTTGCCTCTCCTCTTCCTCTGACTCCGCTGCTGCCCGAAGCGCAAGCATTCAGGCAATGTCCTTCCATTCCATTGCCCGAGCGGCTGTTTTTGGACACCTGAAGCGGCTCTCCTTGGTGTGCTGCCTAGGGTTGGAGGAGCAGGAATGGCTGAAACTGCTCACCGCATGTGCAAAGTTGGGGGAGCTAAAGGTGCAGCGAAACGACAAGTTCTCGGATGCAGTAATGGCAGGAAGCAGACTGAGTATGCTCACTAGTTTGACTGTGCTCGGGTGTGATAAGATCACTGCAGCAGGCATTGGAGAGGTTTTAGGAAGTTTCCCCAGGTTGCGGTATTTGAAGGTGGAAGCCGGGAAGGTTTCGGGAAGGGCTAGGAGAGAGTTGCTTCGGGCTGGTGTGGTTGTGAGGTGTGTCTGAGATGCTGCTTGGAGATGAGTGGTGATGCATGGGTGGATGTGCCATATTTGGTAGACATGCGCTTGTAGACGTCCTAGGCAGGGGACGTATTTCTGGGAGGTTGGGTTAGGGGATGTTAGCTCTTGGTGAAAGGGTTTACTAGGGCCTAGTTTCCTTTTTGAAAATTATGTATAATATATCAATTCAATTAACTTTGTGAATGTTCGTAAGCAAATTTCGCAGAAATACGACTTCTGAACGTACGCGTTAGGAGACGTCTGTTGCGTTCGCTCGCACCCGTCCCTCCTCTCAACACACGCACTGCACTCTGGCGCTGTTCTGCAGGCGTTATTGGTTCCGCATATTTTGTGCGGGCAGGGGCTTCCGAGTGGTTTCAGGGCGCATCTGTTGTGGTGTGGTTGCGCGGATGTTGCATAGAAGTCCAGCACCATACCAGCCGCACCTTCGCGTTTTGGCGAATGTTCACATTTCGAAGGTTGATGCTGCCCCGCATAACTTGTGCGGGGGCTGATGCTACCTCTCGAGGTGGAATGAGCACCGCACAAATGGAGCGACATTTTGCCCGTCAAAGAAACAGCCGCGAACCAGCTGAAGGTTAAACTTTTGCACCCCAAAAGAGGTGTTCTGCAGGCAAGAGGCGTCAAATTTGGCGCAAACAGGCTTGGCAAGCACTCGCTTATCACCAAACCTGGATAAGCAGAAAAGGCCTTATCAACGAAGATTCTGCGCACCCTGTTTCTTGCCAAAAATCGCCTGCAGAACAACGCCTCTTTCCCCGCATCCAATATCAGGCATTCCGTCATGGCACACACTCGCGCATCCATCCTCGCTCGAATCAACGGTCATATTTCTGTTCACCATTGCCATCACATATTTTCGCCTTAGCTACTCGCGTTTCCTCGCTCAACCCGACGAGCTCGTGCGGATCGTTGTCGGCCTCTCAGATCAAATCAGCTGATCGCGGAGCTCAAGGTCCCACGTGCCCCGACATTCTTATTTTCTTACACGTTTTTGTAAGAAAGCCTACGAGGTTGCAGATGCTATCACGTGGAGTATTTTGAGGTTACACGAGACAATAAGCTAAGTAATCGACCGGTTCGCGATGGCGAAAAGAAGCGATCGCGCCGGCAACAGCAGGCTGCTATCGCTCCCCGACGAGCTCCTCCAAATCATCCTCGGCCTCGCCGATCACCCATTCGATCGCCGCAACGTCGCACTCTCCTGCTCCCGCCTCCGCCGCCTCTCTCGGCGCACGCCGCACGCGCTCAGTCTCGACTTTTACTCCAGGCCAAAGGCTACGAATCCGCGAAAATGGTTGAAGAAGTTTGACGATCATTCAAGGGTTTTTACCCACATAACGGATCTGACCGTGAAGATCACCAGTGATCTCGGAAACCAGCTGATGGGGGGGATCACAGCTGGCTGCCCGAAACTGGAAAAAGTAAAGTTGGTGTCGGATTTGGTTGGTTTCAACGTGAACGGTCGAGCGTGGCGAACTCTTGCGAAGCAATGCCCGTGAGTTGCCGTTTTCGTGCCATTTTTCGCCCTCGCAACGTTTCGTCCGTTCGTCGGTCCGTCCGTCCGTCCGTCCGTCTTTCCCTCCATCCATTTATCCATGTCTTTCTACCTCCCATGTTTCAGCAACCTCTTCTCGTAATCCCCAACAGCGCGCCTTTCCCATCCAGCCGGCTTTCCTCTCTCTTCACACCTCCCCATTCGACCTCTCCCCTCGCGTGGAGACACGGTTTGCACCTCCTCCTCTCACTGCATCATCTCCTCTTCCTCCCCACCTCTTCCCTTCCCTCCCCCCTCCGCCCTTCCCCCTTGGTTCAGGCTCTTGGCCTCCTTGGAGCTAGACAGTCCCCATGCACGCTCGCGTGTCTACACAGGACAGCCGCCGCTTCCCCCCGTGCACCTATTCCCGTCTCTGCAATCACTCACGCTCCTCTACGTTCCCTCGGACTTCCTCCCCATTGCCCGCTGCTCCTCCCTCACCTCCCTCACCCTCTGGAGACCCGAACCTTCCACTCTCTCCTGTCTAGCCTCCTGCTCCTCCTCCTCCTCCTCCTCCTCCTCCTCCTCCTCCTCCTCCTCCTCCTCCTCCTCCTCCTCCTCCTCCTCCTCCTCCTCCTCCTCCTCCTCCTCCTCCGCATCCTTCTCCACGCTTTCCTCCTCCCTCCCATCCTCTCTCCGCACATCTCTCACATCTCTCACGATTCACTCCGCCAAGCTGCCAGGCTCCCTCGCATCCCTCGCCTTCTTCCCCGCCCTCTCCTCCCTCTCCCTTCACTCCTGCACCATCCACCCATACGAGCTCCGCTCCATCTCCCTCTCCCTCCACTCCCTCACCCACCTTACAATCCACTCCTCCCCACTTATCTCCGCGGAATCCCTCTCTCCTATCCTCCAAGCCAACCCAGCTCTCTCCTTCCTCTCCCTGCACGGAAAGAATTACCGTCTGTTTGCCGCACAGGGCTTCCGCACCCTCCTCTCTCGCTGCACATCCCAGCTCCGCTCCCTCCACCTCGCCGGCCTCCCCTCCTTCCGCCCGGGGTTGCTTGCAGCCTGCAGTGCCCTGCGGTCGCTCAGTCTAGAAGGGGTGGTTGACTGTCAAAGGCTGCTATTGCCCCGGAGAGTGTCTCTGGACGGCCTCGTGAGTATGCTCGTGCGGGTGGAGCGGATTGGGGGTGCGGGGGTGCGGGCAGGAGGGGAGGCGGGAGGGGAGGGCGGAGCAGAAGGGTGGGAAAAAGCAAGTACAGGTGTTTCTGTAGCTGCAGCAGCTGCAGTGTCACGGATAGCATTGACGGCAGCAGGGGGTAGCGGGAGATACGTGGATTTTCACACAGAGGCAGCGGCGGCTCAGGCAGACAAGTTTGCGGCAATGAAAGGCACATCCAACCTTGCCGAAGCAGCTGACAAAGCCATTGGGGTCGCTCAATCTGACATGCGCTGGGCGGCGCGTGCAGAGGGAGAGGGCGCCGTGGCTCGGATCGCTGCCTGCCTCAGGAATATCAGGACTGGGATTTCGGCGTGCCGGTCATTTTGCAGGACGGTCCGCGAGGCCAATGCGGCTGTTGAGTGGGAGGAAAGGCTGATGAGGGCATTCGCTGCTGCCGCTTCTGCTGCTGCTACTGCTGCTGCTGCTGCTGCTAACCCAGATACAGCTGCTGCTTTTGCTAACTCAAATACACTGCTGCTGCTGCTGCTGCTGCTGACTCCAGTGTCACGTCTGTTGCTGGCCAGGCCGCAGGAATGTTTTCCACAGAGTTGGATTTTGGCGTAGAGGACATGGATGGGGAGGAGGAAGGGGATGAATTGAGGGGCATCGATGGCGTCCTGGCCGGTGATGGCCTGCCTGAGGGCGCGCCAGGTGGGGTGCGGTCTGGTGCGGTGGAGACACGTGAAGAGGTGTTGGGCATGATGGGGCCACTGATGGAGGAGCTGATGAAGCAGGGCATAGCCGTGCGTACTAGCTTGCATTCCTTGCGCCATCTCAACTCTTCCCTGAGTGCCTCTCTGGGGCGACCAGTGGTGGGTGCAGTAGGGGCAGGAGGAGATGGGGCACCAGCAGCAGCAGCAGCAGCAGCTGCTGATGGGGCAGCAGCAGCGCATGTGGCAGCCGCAGCAGGAGAAGGAATAACAGTTGGGCATGGAGTGAGTAGGGCGATGACAGCACCACAACAGGTGAAAAGCACACCCGAAGACCGAGGATCAGGGAAGATGGCAGGGGCGGTGGCTGCAAAAGGTGCGGCAGCAGGGAAGGCAGCAGCAGAGGAGGTGGCAGCAAAAGATGGTCAATTAAGCAACCGAAAGGCCGCAGGCAAACATGTTAAAGGGTGCCTTTCGGCAGTCCTTGTGCACGTATTCTGCCCTCGCCTGGATTCCTTAACGCTTCAAAACCTCTACTTCTCCACCACTCCCCACATCTTCTGGCTGCCTCCAACTCTTCCCTCTGCATCTCCTCTCATGTATCTCTCCCCTGTCCCCCCTTCCACTTCTCGCCGTTCACCTTCCTCCTCCGCCTCTTGCCTCTTCTCCCGTTCTCCTGGCGCTAGCCCAAACATTCAGCCAATGTCTTTCCAGTCCATTGCTCGAGCTGCTGTTTTTGGACAGCTGAAGCGGCTTGTCCTGGTGTGCTGCTTGGGGTTGGAGGAGCAGGAGTGGATCCAGCTGCTTGCCTCATGTGTCAGGTTGAAGGAGCTTAAGGTACAGCAAAGTGACACATTTTCAGATGCAGTGGTGGAGGGAAGCAGACTGAGAACACTCACTAGCTTGACGGTGGTCATGTGTGGTAGGATTACAGCAGCAGGTATAGGAGAGGCTTTTGGAAGCTTCCCTAGGCTGCGGTACTTGAAGGTGGAAGCGGGGAAGGTCTCGGAAAGGGCTCGGAGAGAGTTGCTTCGTGCTAGAGTGGTTGTGAGGGGTGTGTGAGCTGAATGTTGATGCAAATGTGGGTACGGTATTAGAATATTACCGTATATTTTCTTCATTCTTTAGTTGAAGGCAAACATGAAAGCTTGTTGCACAACAGTGAATTTGTAATTTTATGTTTACAGCGTTCTATATAGCATTCACAGCAATGAACTTTTGGAAAACCTATGGCGCTGCACCACTAACCCCATTTCTAGAATATATACGAGATTATATATAAATTAGAAATCTTACAATGTATGTAACACGAGTATGCCAGGAAATTGAGTGGGAACGGGAAGAGAAGAGAAAATGAGAAAAAGCGGAAGAAGAAAGAAGGAAGAAGGAAGAAAGAAGAAAGAAGGAAGAACGAGGTGAATTTGTAATTTTATGATTCCATGCTGTACAATTTTCCCAACGCATACAGGGCATTGGAAATACTGTTTAGTCTAGAGGTATCCTTTAGTTCTTGATTGCTTGGCTTGGCTTCGAAATATATAGCATTACAAGGTTACACGACCACTCCGCTCGAGCGTACGCGTTAGGGAATGTTTCCTGCAAGGCCCTATCCAGTTCCCCAGTTCCCACCAACCAGCGAGTGTCCCAGCTTCAGTCCTCCACCAGTGATTGATACTTGTTTATGTCTGCACGCACTCATCTCATCATCGCTCTGGTCACTAGTCATATTTCTGTGCGTCACACCTCACATGAGTCAATTGCCTTGTTAGAACCTGATTCCTCCGTAGCTACTCGTGTTTCTACTCTCAACCCGACGAGCTCGTGCGCATCGTTGTCGACCTCTCAGATCAGCTGATCGCAGAGCTCGAGGTCGCACGTGTCCCGCCGTTTTTTTTTCTTATTTCTTACACGTGTCTGTAAGATAGCTTACGAGGTTACGATGTTATCACGTGGAGTATTTTGAGGTTACAGGAGGTAGTTAACCAAGTAATCGGTCAGCTCGCGATGGCGAAAAGAAGCGATCGCGCCGGCAACAGCAGGCTGTTATCTCTCCCCGACGAGCTCCTCCAAATCATTCTCAGCCTCGCCGATCACCCATCCGATCGCCGCAACGTCGCACTCTCCTGCTCCCGCCTCCGCCGCCTCTCTCGGCGCACGCCGCACGCGCTCAGCTTCGACTTCTACTCTCGGCGAAGGGTCTCGAATCTGCGACAATGGTTGAAAGAGTTTGACGATTATTCAAGAACATTTACCCACATAACGGATCTGACCGTGGAGGTTCCATCCGGCCTCGGGAATCAGCTCATGGCGGGGATTGCAGCGGGCTGCCCGAAACTGGAAAAAGTGAAATGGGTGACGGAATGGGATAGCTTCAACGTTAACGGCCGAGCGTGGCGCGCACTCGTGACGCACTGCCCGTACGTAAACGTTCCCGATCCTCTCCTTCCCACATATCTTTCCCAGTTCATCCGTCCCGCATCCATACAACCATGCATCTATGCGTACATGCGTCCGTGCATCCATACATCCAAGCATCTATGCGTGCATGCGTCTGTGCTGTGCATCCATCTATCCATCCATCCCTCCATCCCCTCCTATCTCCCTCCAATCCCTCGCCCTTTTCCCCTTCCTTCAGGCAGGCACTTGATCTCTCTGGAGCTAAACTCGCAATATGCGCGCGTGCGTCTCTTGTACACACGGCAGCCGCCACTCCCTCCCGAGTACCCCTCCCCTTACCGAAATTTCCTTCTCTCCTCTTCTCGCCCCTTTCCCCCCCCCTTCAGGCTCCTGAATTCCCTGGAGCTCAACTCACGCTATGCGCGCTCGCGGCTCCCCTACACGCGGAAGCCGCCGCTCCCACCAGTGCACCTCCTCCCCTCACTGCAGTCCCTCTCCCTCCTCTACGTTCCGTCGGACTACCTCTCCATTCCCCGCTGCTCCTCCCTCACCACTCTAACCCTCTGGGGACCTGAATCCTCCACTCTCTCCTCCCTTGCCTTCTTCTCCTCTTCCGCCTCCTCCTCCTCCTCCTCCGTTGCGTCCCCCCCCCCATCCTCTCTCCGCATATCTCTCAGATCTCTCACAATTTACTCTGCCGAACTTCAGGGCTCGCTCGCTTCCGTCGCTCTCTTCCCCTCCCTCGCCTCCCTCTCCCTCCACTCCTGCACCATCGACCCGTACGAACTCCGCTCGCTCTCACGCCTCCACAGCCTCACCCACCTTTTAATCCACTCTTGCGCACTCGTCTCCTCCCATTCTCTAGTCCCCATTCTCCAAGCCAACCCTGCTCTCTCCTCCCTCTCCCTCCTCGGAACCACCTACCGTCTGTTCGCTGCACAGGGCTTCCGCTCTCTCCTTTCTCACTCCTCCTCCCAGCTCCGCTCCCTGCACCTCGCCGGCCTCCCATCCCTCCGCCCGGGCTTGCTTGCAGCCTGCACTGCCCTGCGCTCGCTCAGTCTAGAAGGAGTAGTTGATTCTTCCGACTCCCGGTTGCCACGCATTGTATCACTGGACGGCCTTGTGGGTATGCTCGTGAGGGTGGAATGGAGATTAGACAGTGGAGTAGACGCATCGGAGAAAGCACAGAAGGGTGCTTCGGCAGCGGCTGCAGCCGCACGGGTATTCTTGAGGGGGGTCGACAAGCAACGGGGAAGGTATGTGGATCTCCGCACAGAGGCAGAGGCAGCGCATGCAGATAAGCTTGCAGCGGTAAGAGATGTGGCCTGTCTGATTCACACAGCCAAACAAGCCTCCGAAACCGCCCGTTCCGATGCTCTCTTGGCGGTGCGTGTGGAGGGCGAGAGCGCCGTGCCTCGAATCATTGCCAGCCTCGGGAAGATCAGGTTCGGAATCTCGGCGTGCCGGTCCTTCTGCGCCGGGGTACGTGAGGCCAATGCGGCGATCAAGTGGGCCGAGGCGCTGGTGCAGGCGTTTGCTGCTGCTGCTGCTACTGCTGCTGTTGCTGCTGCTGCTGCTGCTGTTGTTGCGTCTATTGTTGATAATGTACCTTCTGCGGCTGCTGCTACTGCTGCTGCTACTGCTGCTCTCCAGGCACCAGGATTCTTTACTACAGAGCTGCATCATGAGGAAGAGGAGGACAGGGATGGGGAGGAGACAGAAGCAGGAGATGGAAGCAGTGGCTGGGATGACATGCTGCATAAGGACGGCCTGCCTGAGAGTGTGCTGGGTGGGGTGCGGTCTGGTGCGGTGGAGACACGTGAAGAGGGGTTAGGTAGGCTGGTGGCGCTAATGGGCGAGCTGGGAGAGCACGCTGATGCCATGTCTGCGTGCTTTGACTCCATGCGCCCACTCAGCCACACCCTGGCTCGGCCAGTGGTGGATGCGGCAGCTAATGGAGGTGGGGCAGCAACACCAGGAGGAGGAGATGAAGCAGCAGGAGGTGAGGCAGCAGCAGGAGGTGAGGCAGCAGCAGGAGGTGAGGCAGCAGCAGGAGGTGAGGCAGCAGGAGGAGGTGAGGCAGCAGGAGGTGGTGAGGCAGCAGCAGGAGGTGAGGCAGCAGGAGGAGGAGGAGGAGATGGAGGGGCAGCAGCTCATGCGGGGGCGGCAGTGGGTGAGGGAATAGCAGCAGTTACAGGAGTGAGAGGAGGGGCGGCGGAAGCATTGCAGCGAGTGGAGAGCATGCTGGGAGACAGAGGGTTGGGAGCGGGGGCAGCAGGGGAAGCGGCAGCAGGGGAAGCGGCGGCAGGGGAAGCGGCAGCAGGGGAAGCGGCAGCAGGGGAAGCGGCGGCAGGGGAAGCGGCAGCAGGGGAAGCGGCAGCAGGGGAAGCAGCGGCAGGGGAAGCGGCAGCAGGGGAAGCGGCGGCAGGGGAAGCGGCGGCAGGGGAAGCGGCGGCAGGGGAAGCGGCGGCAGGGGAAGCGGCGGCAGGGGAAGCGGCGGCAGGGGAAGCGGCGGCAGGGGAAGCGGCGGCAGGGGAAGCGGCGGCAGGGGAAGCGGCGGCAGGGGAAGCGGCGGCAGGGGAAGCGGCGGCAGGGGAAGCGGCGGCAGGGGAAGCGGCGGCAGGGGAAGCGGCGGCAGGGGAAGCGGCGGCAGGGGAAGCGGCGGCAGGGGAAGCGGCGGCAGGGGAAGCGGCGGCAGGGGAAGCGGCGGCAGGGGAAGCGGCGGCAGGGGAAGCGGCAGCAGGGGAAGCGGCAGCACGGGTTGCGCAACCAAGCAGCGGAAAGTCAAGCTTGGAGCATTCTGAAGGGTGCCAAGCAGCAGTCCCCGTGCAAGTGCGCTGCCCTCCGCTTGAGTCCCTGACCCTCCAATCCCTCTCCTTTGCCTCGACTCCCCATGCCCCCTGGCTGCCTCCCACCCTTTCTTCTGAGTCTCCCCGCATGTACCTCTCCTCCCCCCACTCGCCACCATCAGATTCATGTCACTCATCCTCCTCTTCCCTCTCCCCCACCTCTTCCCGCTCCTCCTCTGCCCCGTGCCCAAGCGGTCATCCAATGTCCTTTGAGTCCCTTGCCCGGGCTGCAGTATTCAGGCACCTCAAGCACCTCGCCTTGGAGTGCTGCGTGGGGCTGAAGGAGCAGGAATGGCTGGAACTACTGGGAGCATGCTCTAAGTTAGAGGAGCTAAGGGTGTTGGAAAATAGTGAAATCTCAGATGCAGTGGTCGCGGGAAGCAGACTGGGAAAGCTCACTAGTTTGACTCTGCTCGAGTGTGGTAAGATCACAGCAACTGGCATTGGAGGGGTTCTCGGAAGCTTTCCGAGGTTGCGGTATTTGAAGGTTGAAGTGGGGAAGGTCACGGAAAGAGCTCGGAGGGAGTTGCTTCGTGCTGGTGTGGTTGTGAGGGGGGTGTGACATTGGTGACAGATATGGTAGGTGCACGTGTCAAGGCTGCTCTTGGCACAATGTCGCCATTCACTTTTTATCCTGTAAATAAGTGTAGATATAGTTGACTTTGAGGTGATGTTGCATGGTTGAGAGCGCAACAGAAAAACAGAAGCTTATGTTGTGAGTTGTCCGCGCAACTCATGTATGTGCGTAACAGGACGCTTCGTTTCGGCTTCACTTTCCGCCAGCATTCACCCCTCGGGCGTACGCGTTAGGGGAATTTTTTCCTGGGAAACCCTGCAGCCCCTCCCCGCATCCTGTTTTCAGTCTTCTCCCAAGCAAAGCCATACGTATCCTGAAGTGGCCCAGTGAGTAGCTGGTTCACTTCCGAAATATGAGGAATTGCGCGAGCTGCTGGACAGCGCCTTTAAGTTGCGTGAGATCTCCTCGGGCTCGAGATTGTGCGTGACGAACCTGCACGGAAGTTGTGGCTCCATCAGCAGTCATAAGTCGACAAGCTGCACGGGGGCTTCAACGACAAGGAGCGGTCTGGTTGATGTCCCAAGACGCTAGCCTTTGTTGAGGTCTCGGGATCAAATCCCCCCTGCGACGTGTTCTGCCAGCCCCCAAAAGGGGCTACACAGGTGCTCATCTGGGAGTGGATAGAACAACCTCGTTGACCCAGCGAGGAGTGTAAACAAATGGGGAGGCGGGTTACGACCGACAGCCAGGTGTGGTTAACACACAGCCAGGGGTTTCCCCCCCCTCCTTAACCCAAGCAAAGCCATACGCGACCCCTAATCTCGAGAACTTCGTCCCAGAGCCCCTAATCTCGAGAACTTCGTCCCAGAGCCCCTAATCTCGAGAACTTCGTCCCAGAGCCCCTAATCTCGAGAACTTCGTCCCAGAGCCCCTAATCTCGAGAACTTCGTCCCAGAGCCCCTAATCTCGAGAACTTCGTCCCAGAGCCCCTAATCTCGAGAACTTCGTCCCAGCCTCGAGAGCTCCCCTCCCCTCTCCATGCATGCAGCCTCTAACGTTTTCCGTGTGCGAGTGGAGGGGGAGGGCGAGTGTGTCAGGCAGGGCCATTCCAGCTCACGCGAGCTGATGGTCCACGTGGAGTCAGTCAGTCATTTGTTGGTCCGCTCCGCGTTCATTCCGTCATGGCTGCCGTGCAGACTCGCTTGCGCTGGTTCAGGAGGCCTAGATCGGTTGGGTACGGTTTCTACCTCCTGGATCCAACCACGGAGGATCAAGCAACATCATCTCCTCATAACATCACAAGACAAGAAGAATCCTGCCGTTCGTCGGCCCCCTCAAAGGTTAGTTCGTTTTGACAGAAATCTCGTCGTTCGATCCCATATGTCTGAGTCGTAGCCTCCACTCACGTGTGTTCGAACCTGCAGGTGTGCGTGACGGCGCGTTTCTTCTGAAGCGCCACAAACGCTCTTCTTCGTAGCGGTTATTCCGGAACCGCATCATACCGCAGCTTCCAGCCTCATAAGCGCTATCCCGTGGTGGTGCGTCGAATTTCGCCCTGACATCAGGCCAAGGACGGACGGCTTCTCGCAAGCCTCGAACTGCCCGATCTGCTTCTCGCAAGTATGAACCCCTTCTTCTAAGAAATGTATGATCTGGGCAAAAATCCGGCCAGGCGTCTTCAATACGATCTTTTATTCCAGCCGATCCTTTGCGTCGGCTTCCTCTTGCTTCTGCTCCTCATTTGTCTCCTTCAATCTCTCGTTTTTCTTATCCAGCTGTAGCTTCTGGAGGCTTCCGGACTCGCTATTTCGCGGTCAGCTCGAGATGGCGGAAAACAGAGAAGGCGCCGACGATAGCGGGCTGCTATCACTCCCCGACGATCTCCTTAAGATCATTCTCGGCCTCGCAGATCACCCATCCGATCGCTGCAGCGTCGCGCTCTCCTGCTCCCGCCTCCACCGCGTCTCGCGGCGCATGCCACATGCGCTCCGACTCGAGTTCCGCTCCAGATCAAGGGCTGCGAATCCGCGAGAATGGTTGAAAAAGTTCGAGGATTTTTCAGGGGTATTTACCCACGTGACGGATCTGACCGTGGAGATCACCAGTGGTCTCGGGGACCAGCTGATTGCAGGGATTGCAGCGGGCTGCCCAAAACTGAAAAAACTGAAGCTGGTGGTGTCGGCTTGGGATAGCTTCGACGTCAACGGTCCAGCGTGGCAAAATCTCGCGAAGCAATGCCCGTGAGTTGAGGCTTTTGTGCACCTTCTCTCCTTCAAAACCTTTTACCAAATAATCATGCATCCGGCACCATTCATCCATCCGTCCGTCCACCCCTCCGTCCATCTGTCCGTCCGTCCGTCCATCCGTCCGTCTCTCCGTTCATTTATGCCATAATTGTTTCGGGATGTTAAAAGGTCTCTCTGACGAGCCTTTACACGCCCTGAATGGAGCACTGAGCAAAAAGCTATGCGCATTCCCTCTCTCCCCTTCCTCCCCTCCTCTCCCCTCCCCTCCCCTCTCGCCCGTTCCCTCCATGTAGGCTCCTGGCTTCATTGGAGTTGAACTCTCCCTCTGCGCGCTCGCGCCTCTCTCACACACAGCAGCCGCCACTCCCCCCCGTGCACCTATTCCCCTCATTGCAGTCCCTCTCTCTCCTCTACGTTCCCTCAGACTTCCTCCCCATTACCCGCTGCTCCTCCCTCACCTCGCTCACCCTCTGGGGCCCTAAATTCTCCACTCTCTCCTCCCTTGCCTCCTCCTCCTCCTCCTCCTCATCCTCCTCCTCCTCCTCCTGTGCTTCCCACTCCTCCCTTGCCTCCTCCACTTCCTCCTTCCCCATTGCGTCCTCCTCCCCATCCTCTCTTCGCACATCTCTCACGTCCCTAGCCATTCACTCCGCCCAAGTGCCAGGCTCTTTTGCACCCCTTGCCCTCTTCCCGTCCCTCTCCTCCCTCTCCCTCCACTCCTGCACCATTGATCCGTACGAGCTCCACTCCCTCTCACGCGCCCTTCATAGACTCACCCACCTCACCATCCATTCCTGCCCGTACGTCTCCTCCCACTCCCTCATCCCCATCCTCCAGTCCAACCCCACTCTCTCCTCCCTCTCCCTCCACGAAACCACCTACCGTCTGTTTGCCGCACAGGGATTCCGCTCCCTGCTCGCTCGCTGCTCCTCCCAGCTCCACTCCCTCCACCTCGCCGGCCTCCCATCCTTCCGCCCGGGCTTGCTTGCAGACTGCAGGCGCCTGTGCATGCTGAGTGTGGAAGGGACGGCCAATTCCTCACGGATGCGAACTTCCCAGGGCGTGTCTCTGGACGGCCTTGTGAGTATGCTCGTGCGCGTGGAGCGGATGGCGGGTGTGGCCGGGCGGTCAGGAGGGGAGGCTGGAGGGGACGGTGGAGCGGAAGTGTGGGAGAAAGGAAGTCCATGTGCTTCTGCTGCAGCAGCTGCAGCACCGAGGGTAGCACCGAGGGCAGCAGCAGGTAGTGGGAGCGACAAACACTGCGGGAGATACGTGGATTTTCGCACAGAGATAGCAGCGGCTATGGAAGACAAGTTGACAGCAGCGAGTAGCGCAGTCAAACTCTTTAGAGAAGCTGAGGAAGTCAGCAAGGTTGTTCATTCTTCGCCAGACATTGCAGAGGTTGGTAACGTTGAGGGTTGGTTTGCCGTCAGATTCGCGAATGTCAGGTCCGGGATATTTGTGTGCCGGTCATGTTGCAGGGGAATCCGCGAGGCCTTTGCGGCTGTCGAGTGGGAGGAAAAGCTGATGAGGGCAGCAGCAGCTGCTGTTGCTGCTTCTGCTCCTGTTGCCGACTCAAATACAGCTGCTGCCCCTGACTTCGATTTAACTTCTGCTGTTAGCCAGGTGGCAGGGTTTTTCTCGTCTGAGCTAGATTTTGGAGAAGAGGACATGGATGGGGAAGAAGGGAATGAAATTAGCAGCATGGATCCTGATGATGCAGAGGTTCGGGTGCAGAGGTTGGCGGAAAAACTATTCGGACTGAAGGTGCAACGTAAAGCCATGCATGATAGCTTGGAGTCTTTCTGTGAACTTAGCGATTCTCTGGGAGCCCCTCGGACGCGACCAGTTGTGGTTGCGGCAGCAGCAGTAAGAGGAGATAGAGCAGCAGCAGGAGTAGGGGATGAGGTAACAGCAGCAGCAGCAGCAGCAGCAGGAGGAGGAGGAGAGGGGGCAGCAGCAGGTGAAGGGCATGGAGTGGGAGGGACGACAGCAGCACCGCAACGGGTGGCAAGCACACCCGAAGACAGAGGGTTAGGGGAGGTGGCAGCTGGGGAGGCGGCACCTGGGGAGGCGGCACCTGGGGAGGTGGCAGCTGGGGAGGTGGCAGCAGGGGAGGGGGCAGCAGGGGAGGGGGCAGCAGGGGAGGCGGCAGGTGGGGAGGTGACAGTTGGGGAGGCAGTACCTGTGAAAGTATTCTGCCCTCGACTAGACTCCTTAACCCTTCAAGGGCTCCATTTCTCTACCCCTCTTCACACCTCGTGGCTGCCTCCGACCCTCCCTCCTGAGCCTCCTCTCGTTTGTCTCTCCCCCCTCCCACCTTCTTTTTCCCGCTCCTGTGCCCCAGTCCCAAGCATTCAGCCAATGTGCTTTCAGTCCATTGCTCGAGCTGCTGTTTTTGGACAACTCAAGCAGCTTGTGTTGGTGTCCTGCTTAGGGTTAGAGGAGCAGGAATTGACCCAGCTGGTTGCTGCATGTGCCAGCTTGGAAGAGCTAAGTGTACAGCAAAGTGACACATTTTCAGATGCAGTGGTAGCGAGAAGCAGACTGGGAACGCTCGCTAGGTTGACTGTAGTCATGTGTGATAAGATTACAGCAACCGGCATTGGAGGGGTTCTTGAAATTTTCCCTAGACTGCGCTACTTGAAGGTGGAAGTGGGGAAGGTCTCGGAAAGGGCTCGGAGAGAGTTGCTTCGCGCTGGAGTGGTTGTGCGGGGTGTGTGATTGTGACATCGGTGAAAGCAAGGTGCTTTTGGGAACAACAATTTTGTACGCCTTAATCATGCACATATATGTATTTTTTTTTAACGTATTTACAAGATGACTAGCAAAACATTATACAGCCTCTCGGTTTTGGGTAATTCTCTCTTCTCTTTTTTGGGTAATTCTCATTTCGTAGGCAAGTTAAATTCGTTCATTTTCACACTCCCGAAATTGTTCTGCCTAAATTTGGCATTCAAACACCATTGCAAATGTATATGCTCTCTTCAAGCCGAATGCTGTCTGATCTCTACAATAATCCGAACTATACGCGACCAGTAACGATTCTGAGAGCTGTCTGGTAGCGAGGAAACTTTTCCTAGACTCGGACCGAATCATTACCTGGCGGCCTGGCCTTGCATACCGTATTAGAGAGACTGGCATTTTCCACGATTGAACCGCGGTTACCAATCGTTCGTGAAAGGTTTATTTTTGCGTTAAGGTGCTGCGGTCCCTTTTTATTTAACGCCGCCTCGAATACATTATCGACGCCATGGACAATCAAGGTCAGGGTCCCCCGCTCCCCCCAACTAACGGTACAGCACCCGACGGATCCGCCGCTTCTGGCGCTGACGCTGCTCCCGACGACGCGGGAATTAAGATGGTTCTCCCGAACATTAGTTTCTCCATGGGTCAACCTACCATCGGCGCAACCGGCGCACCGCCTGGGGGAGCTCCGCCTGGCGGACCTTCCCCCCATGGCGGACCAACCCCCGCGCTTCCCCCCTTTCCTCCGCCGTCCAATGAGGGTTACCCTTCCGGCGGAGGATACCCGCCGGATTCTGGGCCGCGTTCTACGGGGCTCGGCGCGCTTGGCATCGGCGGGGACGGCGGAGACATGCGCGGGGACACGCGCGGGGAGCACGCGGAGCACAGGCAGAAGCGCTCCGCGGGGGAGATGTACGGCGGGGAATCGGGCGACTCCGCGCGGGGCGGGGAGCGGGGAGAACGCGGGGAGCGCGGGGGAGGTCCAGGCGGGGAGAGGATTGGGGGGAGCGGGGGTACGGGGGGGAGCGGAGAGCTGAAGCGTTGGCCGGGGTGGCCGGGGGATAACGTGTTCCGCTTCGTGGTGCCGATGGGGAAGGTGGGGAGCATCATCGGGCGGCGCGGCGAGTATGTGAAGAAGATCTGTGACGAGACCAAGGCACGCGTTAAGATCGTCGAGGGCGCTCCGGGCCATGACGACCGCGTGGTAAGATGGTTTTTAGGTGTCGTATAGGATAAGCTGGGGGTAAGCTGGTTATAGGATTTCGGGCTTGGGTTGGACCTTGAAGTGCGCGTTAAGATCATGGAGGGCGCTCCGGGCCATGACGACCGCGTGGTAGTCTGGGCTCGTAGCTTGATTGGCCTTGGGTGTGATGGCTGTAACAGCAAATTTGGGAGCTTCATTGCTTGAACGGCCCAGGGTTTGGGTGGTGCAGTAGGGTGCCCGTGGTTCCGATGGGGAAGGTGGGGAGCATTGCGGCGAGTGTGTGAAGAAGAATAGGGACGAGACCAAGGCGCGCGTTAAGATCGCGGAGGGCGCTCCAGACCATGACGACCGCGTGGTAAGCTGGTTATGGGGGCCTAAGCTTGGGGTGTGAAGCGGTTGGGTTGGGTATGGTGGCTGTATGGCTGAAGGGCGTGACGAGACCAAGGCGCGCGTTAAGATCGTTGAGGGCGCTCCTGGCCATGACAACCGTCGGATCGTGGAGGGCGTATCTGAGGACAAATTCACTTGTTCTCTCCCCGATCTCCGTCATTCTCCCTGGTCTACCTTCAAACCCCCAGGTGCTGGTGTCAGGCAGAGAGGACCCTGGTGGGACCCTGACTCGGAGCTCCCACCAGCCGTCGTGGCGATGCTGCGTGTGCACCGTCGAATCATGGAGGGTGTATCAGAGGGCAAACCACCTCTTCCTTTCCCCTCTTCCAACCTCCTACACTCACCCCGCCCTGCTGCCTCCCCAGGTGCTGGTGTCAGGCAGAGAGGACCCTGACTCTGAGCTCCCGCCAGCCGTCGTAGCAATGCTGCGTGTGCACCGTCGGATCGTGGAGGGCGTGTCAGAGGATGAGATTGAGGCGTCTCAGCCGGGGGAGGGGTTCCGGGGGCAGGTGGCAACGCGCCTGCTGGTGCCAGCTACACAAGCGGGCAGTTTAATAGGGAGGCAGGGGCAGACCATTAAGGCTTTACAGGACAGCACAGGCGCGCACATCAGGATCCTTTCCCTTGGTATGCTGGCTGAAATTTGCTTTTCTGGTAGGTCTGGCGATAAGGGTACTTTCTGGTAACTTTGGTACTGTTCTAGTAACTTGGGTACTTGTCTGGCAACATAGGGGCGTGTCAGAGGACGAGATCGAGGCGTCTCAGCCGGGGGAGGGGTTCCGAGCGCAGGTGGCCACTCGCCTGCTGGTGCCGGCTACACAGGCGGGCAGTTTGATAGGCCGGCAGGGGCAGACGATCAAAGCGCTGCAGGACAGCACAGGGGCGCACATCAGGATCCTCTCTCTTGGTATGCTGGCTGAATTTTGCGTTTCTGGTAGGTCTGGTAATGTCGTGGTGCCTATTGAGTCGACTCAAAAGTAATGTCGGTACTTGTCTGGTAATGTAGGTGCTTGCAACACTGGCCCTGGTTACACACGCGAGTGTGCTGTGCACATCGTGAAAGCATTCCCGCCCTGTTTGTTCCTCTATTCAATCCTCACCCACCCACACTACAGAGGACGTGCCACCATGTGCGTTGGAGGGCGATCGAGTGGTGGAGGTGACTGGGGAGTATGCGAGTGTGCATGAGGCAGTGAAGGGCGAGTGAACCGCTCCTTGTCCAATGCACATCTCCCTTCCTTGTGGTTTTTCTTGTTCTTCTGTCACCAGAGGACGTGCCGCCATGTGCACTGGAGGATGATCGAGTGGTGGAGGTGACGGGGGAGTATGCGTGTGTGCACGAGGCTGTGAGCATCCCTCCTTCTGATGCTCATGCCCTTCCCTTGTGGTTGGCCCGTGTTCCCTTGTGAACAGAGGACGTGCCGCCATGCGCACTGGAGGACGACAGGGTGGTGGAGGTGACGGGCGAGTATGCGTGCGTGCACGAGGCAGTGAAGGGTGTCACTCTGCATCTCAGGCGCTTCCTCTGCGACCACTCCGTGCTGCCACTCTTCGAGCAATGCGTATGTCTCCCTGCACTGACAATGCACCCCCCTCACTGCTCCCCACCCTCGTTCACCACCCCCCCTCTCTCCTATTTCCCCTGAACCCCCTGTCCACCTTGCTCGTGCTACTGTGTCATGTGTATGCTTGTCTCTCTTTTCTCCCCTTCTTTCAACAGTCTGTCACCCATTTTCCCTCCGCTTCCCTCCTCACACCTCTCCCTTTCCCTGAACCCCCCTCTCTCTCCCTTCCCCGCCTCTCCTGCCCCAGCGCCCCTTTTCTCCCCCATGACCCCAGAGCTGCGCACTACTCTTCCCCCTCTGCCTCACACACTCCCCCCTCTTACCCCTCTTCCCCTTCCCCGCTCCTCCTATCTCTCCCCCTTCACCCTGCCTCCCCCGCCCCAGCGCTCCTTCCCCCCTCCAATGGACCCCAGGGGTGCGCCCTACGCGTCCCCCTCTAGCCGCGGAGGGGGATGGGGGAACCCTCCTCCGGGGGGAATGCACTCTCCTCCTCACCGCTCGCGCTTCGACCTTCCCCCTTCTGCTGCGCCTGACCCCTATGGCAGCCTCTCCTCCCTAGGGAGCATGGGGGGTGCTGACAGGTACGAAACGGTTTAAATGGGTTGAAAGGAGTGCAGTGAGCGTGATGGCATACGGCCAGTTGTTGGGCATTGCGCTTCGACCTCCCTCCCTCTGCTGCACCTGATCCCTACGGCAGTCTCTCCTCCCTGGGCAGCATGGGCGGTGCTGACAGGTACGAGGTTTTGAGAGGTACGAAACGGTTGGGAGGGGTGTGTGACGGTCGCATGGTGTAGGTTTGGTCTGAACGTTGTGCTTCGACCTTCCTCCCTCTGCCGCGCCTGACCCCTACAGCTCCCTCTCTTCCCTGGGAAGCATGGTGGGTGCTGACAGGTACAAAACGGTTGGGGGTGGTGATGATGGTAGGGTACGTTGGGGAGTGGTGTTGATAGTGACAACCCGTCTAGTTGGGAAGCATAACTGCATTTGCTAACGTTTAGTGCAAACTGAAAATTTTATAAAGTGCGTATGCTAGTTTCCTGGCTTATTAGCTTCTTCTCCCTGTCGCTCCTTTCTCCTAACCCCTCTCTGTGCATGTCTGCCTGCCGGCCAAGCAGGTACGGCTCAGCCATGGGAGGCCTGGGAGCAGGTTCGGGAGGAAGCTTGGGCTACAGCCAGCAGATTTCTCAACCGCCACCACCGCCGCCGCCGCAGCAGCAGCCGCCACCGCCATACCCGCAACAGCCGTACCAGCAGCAACAGCAGCCACAGGGAACGCAGGCAGGCGGGGGATATGGGGGCGCAGTGGGGATTGGGGGGGCAGGAGGAGCTTCTGCAGGGCCGGGGGGGATGGATGCGAACGGGCAGTTGAGGGCAGCACTGTCTAAGTATGGGAGGGAGACGCCTGCTGCTGCTGCCGCTGCTGCCATGACCAACACGGTTTCCCCTGTTGTCACTCAGGTGAGCTTTCAGCACTCATTCCCTTCCACTCAACCCCCCTGGGTGCGGCAGCAGGGCCAGGGCCAGGGGGGATGGATGCGAATGGGCAGTTGAGGGCAGCACTGTCTAAGTATGGAAGGGAGACGCCTGCTGCTGCTGCTGCTGCTGCCATGACCAACACGGTCTCGCCTGTTGTCGCTCAGGTGGGTGTTGATTACTCCTGCCCCTCTCAATCCCCCCCTGTAGTCACGCAGGTGAGCGTATTTGTGAGACGTTTCAAAAATACACTTTTTACACGTGGCACTCTGTCGTTTCTGCTCTGCTACGTCGACGCCATCATCGGCCCCAACGGCACCAACATTGTTCTCCTGCGCCGCACCAGCGGTGGTTTTCCCACATCCTGACACCCTTCCCCTTCTCCCTTTCCACACCGCCTTTTTACTCAACAGGTCAGTGCAACCATGCAGATCCCTCTGTCCTATGTGGACGCCATCATCGGCCCCAACGGCACCAACATTGTCTTCCTGCGCCGCACCAGCTCTGGTCTTGCCCCTTCCTGACACTCCATCCCTCCACCTTTATCCCCGTTCTACCCGCCCTTGTAACCATCTGCCAGGTCAGCGCCACGATGCAGATCCCTCTGTCCTACGTGGACGCAATTATCGGTCCCAACGGCACCAACATTGTCTTCCTGCGCCGTACCAGCAATGGGGTTACCCCTTCCTCACCCTCTGCTCCTTTTCCCCTCCACCCCTGCTCCAAACCCCTTCCATCCCATCCACTGCAGGTCAGTGCAACCATGCAGATCCCTCTGTCATATGTCGATGCAATCATCGGTCCCAACGGCACCAACATTGTCTTTCTCCGCCGCACCAGCGGTGCCGCGGTGACGATTCAGGAGAGCCGGGGAGCAGGAGGGCAGCCGGAGATGACGGTGGAGGTGCGGGGCAGTGCCACGCAGGTGCAGACGGCCCAGCAGTTGATAGAGGTGAGCAATACTTGCTGGAGGGTGGGTGTGTAGGTGATGGTAAGTTGGGTGCATGGGTGAGAGCCGGGGAGCAGGCGGGCAGCCGGAGATGACGGTGGAGGTGCGGGGCAGTGCCACGCAGGTGCAGACGGCCCAGCAGTTGATAGAGGTGAGCAATACTTGCTGGAGGGTGGGTGTGTAGGTGATGGTAAGTTGGGTGCATGGGTGAGAGCCGGGGAGCGGGCGGGCAGCCGGAGATGACGGTGGAGGTGCGGGGCAGTGCCACGCAGGTGCAGACGGCCCAGCAGTTGATAGAGGTGAGCAATACTTGCTGGAGGGTGGGTGTGTAGGTGATGGTAAGTTGGGTGCATGGGTGAGAGCCGTGGAGCGGGCGGGCAGCCGGAGATGACGGTGGAGGTGCGGGGCAGTGCCACGCAGGTGCAGACGGCCCAGCAGTTGATAGAGGTGAGCAATACTTGCTGGAGGGTGGGTGTGTAGGTGATGGTAAGTTGGGTGCATGGGTGAGAGCCGGGGAGCGGGCGGGCAGCCGGAGATGACGGTGGAGGTGCGGGGCAGTGCCACGCAGGTGCAGACGGCCCAGCAGTTGATAGAGGTGAGCAATACTTGCTGGAGGGTGGGTGTGTAGGTGATGGTAAGTTGGGTGCATGGGTGAGAGCCGGGGAGCGGGCGGGCAGCCGGAGATGACGGTGGAGGTGCGGGGCAGTGCCACGCAGGTGCAGACTGCCCAGCAGTTGATAGAGGTGAGCAATACTTGCTGGAGGGTGGGTGTGTAGGTGATGGTAAGTTGGGTGCATGGGTGAGAGCCGGGGAGCGGGCGGGCAGCCGGAGATGACGGTGGAGGTGCGGGGCAGTGCCACGCAGGTGCAGACGGCCCAGCAGTTGATAGAGGTGAGCAATACTTGCTGGTGGGTGGGTGTGTAGGTGATGGTAAGTTGGGTGCATGGGTGAGAGCCGGGGAGCGGGCGGGCAGCCGGAGATGACGGTGGAGGTGCGGGGCAGTGCCACGCAGGTGCAGACGGCCCAGCAGTTGATAGAGGTGAGCAATACTTGCTGGAGGGTGGGTGTGTAGGTGATGGTAAGTTGGGTGCATGGGTGAGAGCCGGGGAGCGGGCGGGCAGCCGGAGATGACGGTGGAGGTGCGGGGCAGTGCCACGCAGGTGCAGACGGCCCAGCAGTTGATAGAGGTGAGCAATACTTGCTGGAGGGTGGGTGTGTAGGTGATGGTAAGTTGGGTGCATGGGTGAGAGCCGGGGAGCGGGCGGGCAGCCGGAGATGACGGTGGAGGTGCATGGCAGTGCGACGCAGGTGCAGACGGCACAGCAGTTGATAGAGGTGAGCAATACTTGCTGGTGGGTGGGTGGGTGGGTGAAGGGTTGACAGTGAAGGGGTGGCAAGGGAGGGCAGCCGGAGATGACGGTGGAGGTGCGGGGCAGTGCCACGCAGGTGCAGACGGCCCAGCAGCTTATTGAGGTGAGGAGTTGATCCAAGTGAGCAGTAACGCTTGTGAGTTGGGTGAACTGGTGAGAGCCGGCCAGGGGCGGGCGGGAGGGCAGCCGGAGACGACGGTGGAGGTGCGGGGCCACGCAGGTGCAGACGGCACAGCAGCTGATCGAGGTGCGTGGGAGGTGTTCGAGGGTACTGGATTTGTAAGTTTAGAGTGCGGCGTAAAAAGGGTGACTTTTGAGTCGACTCAAAATTCACCTCGTAAGTTTCGAGTGTGGCGTAAAAGGGTGTGCCATATAATGAGAAAGTGACTTCCTAAGCACAACCGAATCAAATCATGCAGCAATTTATGACTAGTAGACATGACAGGGGAATGCTGTTTGTGGGTGTCTTGCTGGTAATTCCCTTCTCTTCCCCTCCCAATTCTCGCCCCTCTCCCCTCAGGGTTTCATGAACTCACACACAGGCTATGCCGAACCTGCGCCTGCGCCTGCTCCGCCAGCTTCGACGTACGGCTCTGCTGCACCGCCAGCTCCGGCGTATGGCTCGGCACCGACGGACCTGTCAGGCTATGGCTCGTCCCTTTACCCTCCCACCGCTGCTGGAGGTGCTGCTGGGGCCGGGGGGGCATATGGGTCAACAGGAGGGTATGGGTACTGAATGTTTGGTGATACAGTCATCTCATCTCTTTTCCGTCCTAGCTGCTGGAGGTGCTGCTGGGGCTGGGGGGGCATACGGGTCAACAGGAGGGTATGGGTACTTATTGTAACGGATTTGTTTCGTCTCTTCACCCTCCCAGATCTGCCGGGGGTGGTGCTGGGGCTGGGGGGGCATACGGGTCAACAGGAGGGTATGGGTACTGAATGTTTTGTAAAGTCATCTCATCCCTTTTCTCTCATAGCTGCTGGCTGTGCTGCTGGGGCTGGGGGGGGCATATAGGTCCACAGGAGGGTATGGGTACTGACTTGGTTGTCCCTGTTGACTTTTGAGTCGGCTCGAAAGGCAGGCCAGGGATGCTTGGGCCGGGCCGGCATATGGAGCACCAGAAGGGTATGGAACAGGTGTATTGACTTTGTTGACCTTATGTGGCCCTGTTCCATTTAATTTCTTAGGTGCCTCAATTGCTGCATTTCTGAATCCGTCCTGCTTTGCCAATTTGGTGCTAAAATGCTGTATGAGTAAATGAAGAACGGTAGTGTATCAATCATGATGTAACTCCACCGCAGTATATCTGTGTTTGGAACAGTATGCCTATAAAGCTGAACGGGAATCACTTTAATGTGTCAAAATATTCAGAAGCAGTTAGCGGAACCTCCAATGTCGAAGAATTGGCCTCCTTTGTGGTGTCGTCGCCAGACTCCTAGAATTCCACCAGGTTCGCCATCTTTGCGTGGTAGGTATCAGATTCTCACTGCGTTCCCAGCCCAACGGCCGCATCTGTGATTCCCCGTCGCTGGAGAGATAGTGGCAGGCACTTCAGACAACCCCTGCTTCGCAGATTTTGTCGCATGGCGTCGCAAGGCGGCGATCCGCCGTCGCAAGGCGACGATCGCCCGTCGGACGAGGCGATCCTAGCGCAGCAGAATGCGATGCTGGAAGAGGAAGCTCAGCGGTACCCGCTTGTCGGGGAGAAGGTGCGCGATTATAGAAGGTGGCAATTGTAGAAGGACCCGTGATCAATATATAATCCATGGTGCGACCATGTTCGAATGTTTTGCCAGGTCCTCTGTACGTCTTGTGCTGTTTCACGCGTATACTCTCACCATTCCTCCCCCCATTCTTCAAGTCTTGAGTCGGGTCGAGGTGACCGTTTGAGTCGATGTGGCCGTTAAGTCGAGCTGGCAGTTGAGTCGACGTGTCCTCGAGATTCAGATTCCGAGGCTGCGCCAACCCATGCGATCCCCCGCAGGAGCCGTTGGCGGCCTTGGCGTCGGAATACGCAGCGGGAAGCACCACGTTCCAAGACAAGATCGAGGTGCGTGAGATGAAGGAGGCTTATCAGGTGCGTGGGGTGAATGAGGAGGCATCAAATAGTGGTTTGTAGGAACGGGTGGAACGGGTGGAGCCGTTGGCAGCATTGGCGTCGGAGTATGCAGCGGGAAGCACCACGCTCCAAGACAAGTTCGAGGTGCGTGTGGTGAAGGCGGGCCAATTAGGTGCGTAAGTGAAGGGGGGTCATCAAATAATGAAGATTAGGAACAGATAGAGCTGCTGTCGGCCTTGGCGTCGGAATACGCGGCGGAGAGCACCACGTTCCAAGACAAGATCGAGGTGCGTGAGATGAAGGAGGCTTCTCAGGTGCGTGGGGTGAAGGGATGTGGGGATAGTGTGAAGTGCCGCGGGGATGGGATGAGTAGTCGCGGGAATGGGATGGGGGTGGGGGTGAAGACCGGGGATCAGATAAGTGCAGTTGGAGACGAATTGGAGGCGAGTATGGTATGAACAGCAGGAGCGTCGTAGAGATTCATAGAGCAAAGTCAAGAGTTAAAAAAAAAGGTTTGACGCCGGGGAGATGAAAGACACGAGCGAGAGTGACACCAAAGGTTTCCGTTCGCACATTTGTCCCTCTCTACTCTGCGAGTTTTTACTTAGCCAGCAGCTCCAGCGCCTTTGCCTATCTGTGCCTTCAACCCATTTCACCCCTCCTCACCCCCCATCACTGCCCTTCACCCCGCTTCAACCCCCATCACCGCGCTTCACCCACCATTACCGCCCAGCACCTAGCAATGGAGTACGAGGCCATCAGGCGGACTCGAGGAGATGGAAACTGCTTCTTCCGCTGCTTCCTCTTCGCGCTCCTGGTAAGAAACCGCTTCCGCTAAATCAATAAATACTGTGCATTTACCTTTAATTCTCTTTAAAAGGGAAAGAAGTAGCCTGGTTTGAAAAACAAGAAAAACAAAAACTTGAAAAATGGGCACCATGCTTCATGAGACGCAATCATCCAACCAGCCGTCTTGCATGAAGCCCTAATCTCATTACAGGAACATCTGTTACAAGACGGCAGCAAGGAGGAGTGCGAGCAAGTGAGGGAACGAGTGGCACGCAGCGAGCAGAGGCTGAGGGACCTTGGGTATACCGAGTTCACATGGGAAGACTTTGCTGCTGTGAGTGAGGGTTGATATGTGTTTTCCTCTTTAACGAACAGGTTGACCCTGGTTGCTTTGCAGTCCCTTGTTTGATTGTGGTCGATGTGGGTTTTATTTTCTGAAGGCTTTGTGATCTGACTTGGTTACTCGAGGGGGGGGGGTTGTTTCTGTGACTCAATCTAAAATTCTGTTTTCTTTAAAGTAGTCTTTTGTCTTTCAGCAATGTCTTATTGTCTTGAAGTGGCCTGTTTCTTTTCACCCTGCAAGTTGTGCATCAATCCATGTCCCCGTCCATCCTTCCATCCATTATCAATCCAATTATACATCCATCTATGTCTCTGTGCATCCATGCTCAATCCATCCATGCATGCATGCGTGCAGGAGTATCGGGAGCTTCTAGATGCCGTGGACCCATCGAGTGCAGCAGAGAAGATCACGTGAGTGCTGCTGCTGCCGCCGCCGCCGTCACCGCCGTCACCGCCGTTGTCTTTCTAAAAAAAATTGCTCTGTCTCTATGTCAGTGGGGCCTTGGCCTGGCCGTGAATACTTGTCATGGGTGCTGTGTTCTCTGCTTATCTTTCACGGGTCTGTGAGCTTATGGTCTTGTGGTCCCTAGTCAAGGCACATGGCTGCATGTGTGTGTGTGTAATGCATTGTGGTCAACTTTTGAGTTGACTCAAACCCTTTATTGCATGCATGGCAGGGTGGATGGTCTGTTGAAGCGCTGTCAAGACCCAGACTGTTCCAACTATGGTGAGTGAGTGAACACTCCTCCTGTACTGAGGTGATTTTTGAGGCGCCTAAAAAATCCGCTCCAACTATGGTGAGTGAGTGAATACTCCTCCTGTATGCTCACTGCTCAACGGGAACTAACAGCACTGTTTGGTGCGTACATCAGGCACTTTTTAGGCGCCTCAAACATTAATCCAGACTGCTCCAGACTGCATCTCTCTCATCTCTTTTACTGCTGCACCCCTTCCTCGTTCTCCCCCTCCTCCCCGCCCTCGCGCACTCGTTTCTGCAGTTTGCCACATCGCTTGACTAGCTGCGAATGTATTTCGTTCTCTTTTTCCTCCCAACCTACTCCCCCCCCGTCTTCCTCCCCCCTCTTCCTCCGCCCACTAATTCGCCCTTCGTCCCCCCCACTCTTCCTCCCACCAGCAGTCATGTTTTTGTGCTACATCACATCAGCAGGCATTCAACACAGAGCGGACTTCTTCCATCCCACTCCATCATTCCCTCCCCTCCTTTCCCCACAAATTCACTCTCCCACTTCCCTTCCCCCACCAGCGGTCATGTTTCTGCGTTTCATCACATCAGCAGACATACAGCACCGAGCAGACTTCTTCCATCCCTTCCTGCCTGATGCTATGGCCAGCATGGGAGCACCAAAGGAGGCAGCGAAGCAGGTAACAGTGCCCTTCCTTCCATGTCCTTACTTCCCTACACATCTTCATCCTCATCCCACCCACCATACTCCCTGCTCTACCACTTGAACAACCCTTATCCGCTCTTTATGCTCCATTCCGCTCTCACAGTTCTGTCATAAGGTGGTGGAGCCAATGGGGGAGGAGAGCGATCATGTGCACATCACATGCACATCACGTGCACATCACATGCACATCACGTGCACATCACGTGCACATCACATGCACATCACAGCCATCGCAGATGCCCTCGCTGTACCCATCCTCTGTCAGAATGTTGTATTTGTCTAGCCTGCAGTGGGGTACTCTATAGCGAGTACAGCCCAATCTAGGGTTTGCTATTTGTATCTCAACTGCTGCTAGTCCAAACCCTCTTTCTGTTTCTAAACTTTCTCCTACTACTTCGACATGCTATCAGAGCAGGTCGACCCCCTTGGGTCGATCCTGTGGGTGGGCCCACCACCTAATGCTTCCGCTGCTGTTCTACTTGTCGCGCGCCTCGGTCGCGCGACGCCTCCTTCCTGCCGCGCGCTCCGCGCGCGGCGAAATGTTTTTAAGGTTTTCATCCCGCCGTACGCTCGGGGCGTGCGGCGGTTTTCTGCCTGCCGTGCGCCCCGAGGCGCGCGGCGGTTTCCCACCGTCGAAGTGCCCCCCGTCGCCCGTCGAAGCGCCCCCCCCCCCCGTCGCCCGTCGAAGCGCCCCCGTCGCCCGTCGGAGCGCCGCCCGTCGCCCGTCGAAACGTCCCCGTCGCCCGTCGAAGCGCCCCTGGGACCCGCGCGCGGCCCGTACGGGCTGCGCCAGGCCCGCGCGCGGCCCGTACAGCCCGCGCGCGGCCCGTACGGGCTGCGCCAGGCCCGCGCGCGGCCCGTACGGGCTGCGCCAGGCCCGCGCGCGGCCCGGGTAGCTCGCGCGCGCCTCGTCCCGCCTGCGGCAGACCCGTGCGCGCGCCTCGTCCGTCCCCCAAGCTTCTGTCGGCGCCCCACCCCCGCTACTGCCCGCGTTCCTGTGTTAGGGTTTGGGGGTGGCGAGTGTGGGGGTGCCGGTTGTGTGCCCCGTCCCCTCCTTCTCCTCCTCCTCCGTCTCCCGCTGCTGCAGCTGCCGCTCAGGGGGGTGGGTGTGTGGGGAGCCGACGGAGTGGTACTAGGGGGGTGAAAGGGGGTGGAGCTAGGGGCGAAGTAGGGGGCGTGTGTCGAGGGGTGTGGGACTGTTGGGGGAGGTTGAGCGGAGGCCGCCGTCGTGTCGTCTGCAGCGCCTGTATTCCGGGGTTCTGATAGCCACCGGTAGCTCAGAGAGCCGGTTGCACCTGTCGCCCGTGGGTCCGTTGCTCCTGTCGCTGCTGATCAGACGCAGAGCCTGTTACTCCTGTATTCCGGGGCCCTTGCTCCCGGTAGCCACTAGAGCTGCACCAGAGCCGTCTGTTGCCCGTGTGTCTGCAGCTTCAGTCGTCGCCTCCACTCTTCTCTCCTCTCGCCATCCCTCCTCCTCCTCACTTGCCCTCTGTGACTGCCTCTAGCTTTGCTCATAAAATGTGAACTACTATTATGACTGCTTGTTGTGCTGATTACACCCCACTTTGGCTATGGGGGTGTGTCAGAATGTTGTATTTGTCTAGCCTGCAGTGGGGTACTCTATAGCGAGTACAGCCCAATCTAGGGTTTGCTATTTGTATCTCAACTGCTGCTAGTCCAAACCCTCTTTCTGTTTCTAAACTTTCTCCTACTACTTCGACATCCTCGTCACCCAGTTATTCCCTTTGCCTGGTACCGTATTCGTCCCGTGCCCCCCTTGCACCTTCCCTCCAGTTCTGTCACAAGGCAGTGGAGCCAATGGGGGAGGAGAGTGACCATGTCCACATTACAGCCATCATAGATGCTCTTACCATACCCACCTGGACAACCTTACCCTTTTGACAATCTCCCCCTCCCCTTTCTCCTTCCTCCAGTTCTGTCACAAGGCAGTGGAGCCAATGGGAGAGGGGAGCGACCACGTGCACATCACAGCAATCACAGACGCCCTCACACTCCCATGTACCATTCTTCTGTCCATTCACCCTTCCCCCAGTTCTGTCACAAGGCAGTGGAGCCAATGGGGGAGGAGAGCGACCATGTGCACATCACGGCCATCACAGATGCCCTCGCCGTACCCATCCGCATCGTTTACCTTGACCGCAGCGCCGGGCAAGCGAATTTTCATGAGTTTCTGCCCGAGGAGAGTGTACAGGCAGCCCCTGCAATGACGCTGCTGTATCGACCAGGGCATTATGACATCCTATACCCAAAACAAAAGTGTCACTCGTGTGCCTTTATAACAAACCCCTATCCAAATTCAATCTATTCCTGCCTTCACATGTATGGGGTGTTTTTATTATTCTTCTGAAAGTGTTTCTTCATTTTAGCATCATGTTGACGAAGCAACTACAGGAAGCATTTGACAGCACTATTGATGGCAACCATGCATGCACTATTATTCTGGTTCCTTGACATGAATTGCACTACTGTATTGCCCCAACGTTATTACTAATCTAACTGCACTGCACTGTACACTATTCCCCAGCTGTCACGGCATGCCTGTCAGTCTCCTCAGAAGAGTCTCCGACCAGTAAATGGAGAGCACAAGGCACACGGCAGCAGGCACAGCCACAAAGAGAAACACCGCCAGGTAGCAGAGCAGTGCAAGTGAGCACCAGGGCACAATCACAAAGCTCACCACCGCCAGCACCCCCAGAAACGGTAACCGCGTGCACAGCTGCCGCAGCCGGCTCAGGTAGAACGCCGCACCGTTGATCGCCGTGCGAATGAACGGGAACCATTGGATCGCCCTCTGCAGCAGCCAGAGTGCCAACTGCTGCCGGCTGGAATACAACAGATGGTGGAACCCTGCTCCTGGCCAAGAACCCTGCCTCTGCCCCTGCCCCGGTCCCTGCCACTGCCACTGCTGTTGCTCCTGCTGCTGCTGTTGCAAGCGATACAGGTAGTGTTGCGGAATATGTCCCCCTTCCACCCACTCCTGCTGCCCCTGATCCTGCCCCTGCTGATGCTGCTGGAGAGCCTGCACAGCAACAGCAGCAGCGGCAGCAGCAGCAGCACCAGCTGCGGCCGCAGGGGAACCGCCAGGACGCCATTGCTCCAGCAGCACGCGAGGCAGCACCCACCAGAGGGTCTGGCCCCCAGAGGATTGAGACCCCAACGCCTGCCCTCCCAGTACCTGTGCGCCTAAGGCTTGCGCTCCCAGAGCCTGGGCTTCCAGAAACGCATTCGCTGCTGCTGCTGCTGCTGCTGCTGGTATGATCCCCGCCGCTGCTGCTTCTCCTCCTCCTGCTGCTGCTGCTACTGCTGCTGCTGCCGCTGCCGCTGCCACCGCTGCTGCTGATGGGAGCACCAGTGGCACCGCTGCACCGCTCATCATGAGGCGAGGGATCTGATGGTTCTACACCGTCTGGGAGGTGGGTGAGGGTAGACCGCGTGGGAGAGTGTCTGACACTGGCGGTGGCGCTGGCAGCAGAGGTGGGTGAGCTGACACCTCGAGGGAGAGCGAGCCTGGAGGCCTCCAGAAGCCACAGCTGGAAAATGACCAGAAACAGGAGGCACAAGAGGGGGGACAATGACCAGAATCAGAGTAAGCAGACTTACTGGATCTGAGTAGCAGATAAAAACGAGGCAGACCTGCTCAAATTGGAAAAGGCAGGAAAACCTGCTCTCAACAACGAGCCTGGTAGTCACAGGGGCACAGTGGACAATTCACAAGCCATGGCAGCTGCATGTGAGAAGGGAGAAGAAGAGCCCTATCAGGGAAATAACCAATGGAGTCTCACCAGGGAGAAGTTCTTAAAAGGATACTGCAGATTCCCCTCAACGACCAGCCTAGGAGTCACCCAGTGGCACAACGGGCAGTCTACGAGCCATGGCAGCTGGATCTGCAGCGATGGCAGCTTATTGAAGACGGCTATAGGGAGGATGAGCACGCAGTGCTTGCAGAAGGTGTGGCCGCACAGCAACACGTGCGGTGATCTTATACTGGAATCGTAGGCCTCCTGTAAGGGGGATAAGGAATGGCAGCGGAGGAGAACATAAAGAAACGGCGAGGGTTGTAAGGAAATCAAGTTAATTGTCTCAGACGTCATTCCAGGCTTCCTGAATTACGTGAAAGAGGACGATGATAAAGAATTGAGGATAATTATGTCAATTTGACACAAACATGATGTATTCGGCCGTTGATCTGGCGACCAAACGCTTATGGATGATTGGCCTGGAGAATCAAGATCAGTAAGGCACAGAAAGACAAACGGCCAGACCAGATCCTTGTAGAAGCTGACATGTGCTGGAGGAAAGGTAGGGCATACCCAGCAGATAGGGCAGTCCGAGCCTTGCGCGAAGCCGTCCGTCCTGGGCCTGCTCTCGGGGGAAACTCGAGGCACCGCCATAGCGCGGCACGGCACGGATGTCGCCGTGACTGGCCGCTACGAAACCGTTAGCGGAAACGCCTTCTCCCCGCGGCGAAAACGTTTCTCGAGGTGCCTTAGGAAGAGAACGCAGTCACATGCGCGTTCAGGTATTGAGCACGCGTGACTGATCAAATCAAATCGGATCGAAGAGAATTGAGCCTGATGAGGGTAGCGTCTTGCAAGAAGGGTGAAGATCAAAAGACGAAACTCCCTCCAAGCGAAATCAACCTCGAAATTATCAAGAGGGAGGAACAACGGATTCTCAATTCGACAAGGCTCTTTGTGTTTTGATTTTTTCCCGGTCCGACTGCCTGGCCTGGCTGCTAGGGGGACCCTAGTGCGTGATCTATGATTTTCCGTTGTTGCCCCAAGACGTTCGAACCGTATCTTGGGATCCTGGAATAGGTTCGGCGAAGAGGTCGGGAACGGTTTAGATCAATTCTGGCCTTTCGGGACGCGAACCGTCTTGATCGCTTCTCCTAGGGCGAGGCGAAGGGACGTAGAGAACGGATGACAGCCATGGCGGAGTGAGCCGAGCTGAGGGCGACGACAGATGACTGACGCCACGTCAACCATCAGTTGGCTTTTGACGGAAAGTGGGCCCGCGTGACTCACACTCCTCGCTCTCTGCTTTCAGCCTGACTTTCACTCCCTGGTCGTCCTCGCTTTCTACCCCCTCACACACCTACCACTCCCCTTCCCACTCGGCCCAGTTCGCAAACGCACAAGCAAGAGCAGCAGCGAAAGCTTATCGTAATCGGTTTGGCTGGGTGGTGGAGGGTGCTGCATGGAGAGGGAGGGCGAGGGGTGCTGTTCAACGGTCCCTAGAAATTGGTTTTTGACCTCTCGGCACGCTTGATTGGTGTGGCCCAGAACTTGGTGAGGACGCGTCACAAGTAGAATACCGAGGAAGGATCGGGGAGTTGTTCACCGAACCTGTCAAACCGATCGCCATATCGGTGTGTCACGACTGCTTTGAAGTTTCAAGTGACACGATCGTAAAAACATGGGGCAAAATTGCCCGATGTGGACGAAATTGCACGATCGATGTGTGACAAGGGCACATCGATCGCCTGACTTAGAAGGGAAAACTGTACGTTAACGAAAATAAACGAAACCATGTAACCACCTAAACACCGATTCTAGGCAGGATCAATGTTTTACTTGTGACGCGTCCTAAGGTTGCGGCTCGGTGAGTTCTTGAGCGCTCTAGAGCGGTGAGAAGTGAAGTAAATCCAGTTATCACGGAAACATTAGACACGTGGGTTGACCTACCCTGTCCATGATTTCACCTCACAACCAAACATTATTTACAAGTATTTACAGCAGACAAAATGCACAATGCACCCAACACACCCCTATGTCACCTATTTCACATGCCCCTCACAACCACACCAGCACGAAGCAACTCTCTTCGAGCCCTTTCCGTGACCTTCCCCACTTCAACCTTCAAGTACCTCAATTTTGGGAAACTTCCAAGAACCCCTCCAATGCTAGTTGCTGTGATCTTACCACACTCGACCAGAGTCAGACTAGTGAGCGTTCCCAATCTGCTTCCCGCGATCACTGCATCTGAAATTTCGTTATTTTGCAACACCCTTAGCTCCTGCAACTTAGAGCACGCTCCGAGTAGTTCCATCCAGTCCTGCTCCTTCAACCCTTCACAACACACCAAGGTGAGATGCTTGAGGTGCCTGAATGCTGCAGCTCGGGCAAGGGACTCAAAGGACATTGGGTGACCGCTTGGGCATGGGGCAGAGGAGGGGCGGGATGAGGTGGAGGGGAGGGAAGAGGAGAAGGAGAGGGAAGCGGAGAAAGATGAGTGACATGAATAGGATGGTGGAGAGGGGGAGGAAGAGAGGTACATGCGAGGAGACTGGGAAGAAAGGGAGGGAGGCAGCCAGGGGACATGGGGCGGGGAGGTGAAGCGGAGGGATTGAAGGGTCAGGGACTCCAGAGGAGGGCACAGCACGTGCACGGGGACTGCTGCTTGGCACCCTTCAGAATGCTTCAAGCTTGACTTTCTGCTGCTCAGTCTTGCATCCCCTGCTGCCACCTCCCCTGCTGCCACCTCCCCTGCTGCCACCTCCCCTGCTGCCACCTCCCCTGCTGCCACCTCCCCTGCTGCCGCCTCCCCCAGCCCTCCACCTTCTAGCGTGCTTTGCACCCGTTGCGATGCTTCCGCTGCCCCTCCTCTCACTCCGTGCACTGCTGCTCTTCCCTCACGCACTGCTGCTGCTTCATCTCCTCCTCCTCCTGCTCCACCTCCCGCTGCCCCACCTCCCGCTGCCCCACCTCCCGCTGCTCCACCTCCAGTTGCTCCACCTCCACCTCCAAGTGCGGCTGCCCCACCTCCAGCTGCTGCTGCATCCACCGTTAGCAGAGTCAGGGTGGGGGTGAGTTGGCGCATGGAACTGAAGCTAGCAGACATGCCATCCGTGTGCTCCGACAGCTCCTCAATCAGCGCCTGCAGCCTCTCCAACCCCTCTGCACGTGTCTTCACCGCACCAGATCGCACCCCATCCACCACACTCCCCGGCAGGCCATCATGGCGCAACATGTCACCCATGCCCCTGGTCCCGTCTCCTGCGTCTGTCTCCTCCCCATCCCTGTCCTCCTCTTCTTCAGGATTCAGCTCTGTAGTAAAGAATCCTGCTGCCTCGAGAGCAGCAGCAGCAGCAGAAACAGGAATACTATTAGCAGTAGACATATCAAAGTAACCAGCAGCAGCAGCAGCACCACCAGCAGCAGCAGCGAACGCCCCAATCAGCGCCTTTTCCCACTTGATCGCCGCATTGGCCTCACGTACCCCGACAGAGAAGGACCGGCACGCCGAGATCCCGAACCTCATCTTCCCGAGGCTGGCAACGATCCGAGGCACGGCGCTCTCACCCTCCACACGTGCCGCTGAGAGAGCAGCGGAACGCGCGGTTCTGGAAGCTTCAACGGCTACTTGAGAAAGGCGTACCACATCGCTTACTGCTGCTAGCTTATCTTCCTGCGCTGCCTCTGCCTCTCTGCGAATGTCCACGTACCTTCCCCACTGCTTGTCGCTCCCCCTCGGGAATACCCGTGCTGCTGCAGCTGCTGGTGAAGCACCCGTATGTGCTTCCTCCGATACGTCTGCCCCAGCATTTGATTTAGTTGCCTCCCCTCCTGCCTCCCTTCCTGCCCCTCCCTCTCTCCGTTCCACGCGCACGAGCATACCCACAAGGCTGTCCAATGATACAGCGCGTGGGAATAAGGAGTCTGAGGCACAATCAACCACCCCTTCCAGGCTGAGCGAGCGCAGGGCACTGCAGGCTGCAAGCAAGCCCGGGCGGATGGAGGGAAGGCCGGCGAGGTGGAGGGAGTGGAGCTGGGAGGAGGAGTGAGAGAGGAGGGTGCGGAGGCCCTGTGCGGCAAACAGACGGTAATTCGTTCCGTGGAGGGAGAGGGAGGAGAGAGCGGGGTTGGCTTGGAGGATTGGGGAGAGGGAATGGGAGGAGACGAGTGCGCAAGAGTGGATTAAAAGGTGGGTGAGGGAGTGGAGGGAGCATGAGAGCGAGCGGAGTTCGTAAGGGTCGATGGTGCAGGAGTGGAGGGAGAGGGAGGCGAGGGAGGGGAAGAGGGAGAGGGATGCGAGGGAGCCCTCAAATTCGGCAGAGTGGATTGTGAGGGACGTGAGAGATAAGCGTAGAGAGGATGAGGGGGAGGATGCAACTGAGGAGGAGGTAGAGGAGGAGGAGGAGGAGAAGGCAAGGGAGGAGAGGGTGGAGGATTCAGGTGCCCGAAGGGTTAGGGAGGTGAGGGAGGAGCAGCGGGGGATGGAGAGGTAGTTGGAGGGAACGTAGAGGAGAGAGAGGGACTGCAGTGAGGGGAGGAGGTGCACGGGAGGGAGTGGCGGCTGCCTCGTGTAGGAGAGTCGCGCGCGCACATAGCGTGAGTTGAGCTCCAGTGACGCCAGGAGCCTGAAGGAAGGGGAAAGGGCGAGGGTAAGTGAGGACGAGGAGAGACGCACTCGGGACGAGGGATTGCGGTGAGGGGAGGAGGCACTCGGGAGGGAGTGGCGGCTGCCGTGTGTACGAGAGACGCACGCGCGCATAGTGTGAGTTTAGCTCCAGAGAGGTCAAGTGCCTGCCTGAAGGAAGGGGGAAAGGGCGAGGAATTGGAGGGAAATAGGAGGGGATGGAGGGATGGATGGATAGATGGATGCGCAGACGCATGCACGCATAGATGCATGGATGTACGGATGCACAGACGCATGCACGCATAGATGCATGGTTGTATGGATGCGGGACGGATGAACTGGGAAAGATATGTGGGAAGGAGAGGATCGGGAACGTTTACGTACGGGCAGTGCGTCACGAGTGCGCGCCACGCTCGGCCGTTAACGATGAAGCTATCCCATTCCGTCACCCATTTCAGTTTTTCCAGTTTCGGGCAGCCCGCTGCAATCCCTGCCATGAGCTGATCACCGAGGCCGGAAGGAATTTCCACGGTCAGATCCGTTATGTGGGTAAATACCCTTGAATAATCGTCAAACGCTTTCAGCCATTGTCGCAAATTCGTAACCTTTCTCCGAGAGCAGAAGTCGAAGCTGAGTGCGTGCGGCGTGCGCCGAGAGAGGCAACGGAGGCGGGAGCATGAGAGCGCGACGTTGCGGCGATCGGATGGGTGATCTGCGAGGCCGAGAATGATTTGGAGGAGCTCGTCGGGGAGCGATAGCAGCCTGCTGCTGCCGGCGCGATCGCCTCTTTTCGCCATAGCGAGCCGACTAGTCACTTGGTTAGCTCAAAAATCACGTGCTAGCTTCTGTAACCTCGTAAACTTTTACTAAACACATGTACTTTCGAAAAAAAGTGAAACCAATAGTTGCTCCACGACTAGCTGATATGTGAGGCCAAACACAATCCGCAAGAGCTCGTCAGGTCGAGAGAGGACACGGGAGGAGCTAAAGAACAAGGTTCTTGCATAGGCTAGATTCTTTAGGAAGGCGTAAGGAGGCAGAGAAATTATCACTGATTTGGTTCGGGCTATGATGGATTTGTGACGAGAGTGCATGCAGAGAACCCTACAAACAAATTTTCTATTACTGGAGGAGGCCAATGGGAGACGTGCTGATTGGTGGGAAATGCAGCGTGTCCCATCCAAACCGAACTTAACCCAACCGAAACCAAGCGACAGCCACGAGATCAATCATCGGTTGCGATCACCTGGCGGCTGGCTCTGGTTGTCACACCCTCAGCGAAGTTGCGGGTCGCCAGCCAGTCACAGCACTCGGCCCAATCAACTGTAAATAATGCTGTTAGCAGTAATCGACAGAGCTTTGCGTTCCAAGGAAACGCGATACAGTGTAACGAGGATGCGGTCACTCCAAATGTCAACCACTCTCGATCCTTCTCCACCCTGGTAGACGACAAACCGCAAGTCGCTGTTGAGCCCACCCCAGCGACGGGAACTTTGCCGATAGCCTACCACCTGCCAGCCCGTCAACTTCGAGATTTCGAGGTCATTCAGACCTGGCAGCGACAGGCGGGAAAGCAGCTTCTCATTCAGTCTTGAGCGACCTTTTGTTGATTCAGTCTTGAGCGACGATCGACACCTTGATAATCCCGAACAGTCTTCGACCGTCAAAAAGCTGGATTCGACAGGTTGTCGGCCAGCGACGTGAGCTTGTTCGCAAGTTGCTCACCCAGGTGACAAGCTCGATAATGTCGAGGAGATTCAGGCAGAAAGTGGTGTCGCTGCTGATCGTAGCGACAAGCCCGATGTCCGCACGGCTTGTCCGAGGCTCACTTGCTCGGCTGAGTCGCATTCAGGGGGTTTGAGAAGTGAAATCACGCTGTGACGTTCCAGGATGTGACGTAAGCCATCGCACTGTATTGCTTCCTAACGGCCCGGACTGTCACGGCGTAGTTACCATTATGAATATCCTGATGCGGACACTGACTGCACGCATGAATCACGCGCCGCCTTCCGAACCGGATCGCTTGTCAGCGTCACAAATCGCGCAAATGGCTTCGTTCTCTCCAAACTTCCAGCTACGCGGCCTTCAGCTGCACCTGGACGGTTGCAAGCCGTTTCAAGAACGGCCTTCATCCGGTTATTAGGTCGATTGAATCTAAGCTGGTCGAGAGAGAAAGTACCCTGCCTTATTGCCAGACGCATCCAGAACGAATAAGGGTCCGGATCAGGCATCTCAACAAATCCTCTTTGCAGATACAGAGTACCCTGGCGGATCTCTCCGAAAGAATATCGCCTCGTGTGAAGTCGACATGCCTCTCCTCTGGCAGCTCGTCCTGGCAGGCTTCATACTCGCTTTAGCGTATCTCACATGGCGGTATAAGTACTTCCTGAGAGGCAACAGCAAGTACGGGCCTCCTCACTGGCCTGTGCTTGGGGCGATCCCAGCTCTCTTCTCTAACTTTCCATACCTCCTGGATTGGTCCACGTCACTGCTCGAGGTATGCAATCCGATAAACCTCAGGAACAACCTACACTTGGGTGAAATCCGTCGATGTTCATTCATGCTGTCTTATACCTTGTTGTGATTACTTTCCAGTCATTACTTTGTCAAGGCAATAATCAATTGCAGGATCACGTATTGTGGAACCGGAACTGTTATCTCATATAATGGCATCATGCCCTCCTCCCTCCATGGTGCAGGAATGCCCGTCCATGACATACGTGTCTCTGGGTCCTGGCATGAACGAGGTGATCACGGCGAATCCCGAGGTGCTGGAGCACATTCTCAAGAACAAGTTCAACAACTACCCCAAGGGACCCGACTTCCAGGTCAGTGCCATGTGGCAGCTGGAGGAGCTACTTAGCCTGTCTTTTAGATCTGGAGACTGATTAGAACGAAACAAATCGGCAAATTCTTAAGGTGCTGAAGCATATTCTCAAGAACAAGTTCAGCAACATGCGTGGAAGCAGCAGAGAAAGACGCGTGGAAGCAGCAGAGAAAGACGGCCAACCTTTAGTTCTAAATATCTCTCACCAACACGATCTCCTCTCCCCTCTCTCTCCCTCACTATTACAGTCTTCATTCGGCGACCTGCTGGGCCACGGCATATTCAACAGCGATGGCGAGGCATGGAAGCAGCAGCGGAAGACGGCCAGCCTTGAGTTTTCTGCGCGATCCCTCCGTGACCTCATGATGGTCTCCATTCAGGACGAGGTGCAGCTGAGGCTGCTGCCCACCCTGCAGACGGTGAGTTGAAAGGATATTGTTCTGTATGCATCACATCTGTCGATCCCTCCGTGACCTCATGATGGTCTCCATTCAGGACGAGGTGCAGCTGAGGATGCTGCCCACCCTGCAGACGGTGAGTTGAAAGGATATTGTTCTGTATGCATCACATCTGTCGATCCCTCCGTGACCTCATGATGGTCTCCATTCAGGACGAGGTGCAGCTGAGGATGCTGCCCACCCTGCAGACGGTGAGTTGAAAGGATATTGTTCTGTATGCATCACATCTGTCGATCCCTCCGTGACCTCATGATGGTCTCCATTCAGGACGAGGTGCAGCTGAGGCTGCTGCCCACCCTGCAGACGGTGAGTTGAAAGGATATTGTTCTGTATGCATCACATCTGTCGATCCCTCCGTGACCTCATGATGGTCTCCATTCAGGACGAGGTGCAGCTGAGGATGCTGCCCACCCTGCAGACGGTGAGTTGAAAGGATATTGTTCTGTATGCATCACATCTGTCGATCCCTCCGTGACCTCATGATGGTCTCCATTCAGGACGAGGTGCAGCTGAGGATGCTGCCCACCCTGCAGACGGTGAGTTGAAAGGATATTGTTCTGTATGCATCACATCTGTCGATCCCTCCGTGACCTCATGATGGTCTCCATTCAGGACGAGGTGCAGCTGAGGCTGCTGCCCACCCTGCAGACGGTGAGTTGAAAGGATATTGTTCTGTATGCATCACATCTGTCGATCCCTCCGTGACCTCATGATGGTCTCCATTCAGGACGAGGTGCAGCTGAGGCTGCTGCCCACCCTGCAGACGGTGAGTTGAAAGGATATTGTTCTGTATGCATCACATCTGTCGATCCCTCCGTGACCTCATGATGGTCTCCATTCAGGACGAGGTGCAGCTGAGGCTGCTGCCCACCCTGCAGACGGTGAGTTGAAAGGATATTGTTCTGTATGCATCACATCTGTCGATCCCTCCGTGACCTCATGATGGTCTCCATTCAGGACGAGGTGCAGCTGAGGCTGCTGCCCACCCTGCAGACGGTAAGTCTTTAAGGCTACCAACATGCACAGGTGGTGCGTGGACTTGTATGTGAGTCAAACCTCCGCGACCTCTATCGAGCGCCTTGTGTGTGTACAGTGTACGTGATGGCCTCTATCCAGGACGAGGTGCACCTGCGCCTGCTGCCCACAATGCAAATCAGGCGTTGGATTAAGGCTCATCCTTTGACATTCAGGACATTTTCCTGCGCTACACCTTTGACAACATCTGTCGCATCGGCTTCGGTGTGGGTTACACCTGCCTCACAGCACCTCCACTCTTACCTCCCTTCCCCCTTGTCCTCGCTGCTCCCCCATCTCCTGCCCACCAGGCCTTGGAGTCAGGCTCATCGGTCGACATTCAAGACATTCTCCTGCGCTACACATTTGACAACATCTCCTTCACAGCAGCTTGACTCTTGATTCCCTCCGCCCTTCCCTTCTCCCCACCCTCCTCATCAGGCCTTGGAGTCAGGCTCATCAATTGACATTCAGGACATTCTCCTGCGCTACACGTTTGACAACATCTGCCGCATCGGCTTCGGGGTGGACCCTGGCTGCCTCGCCGCAGGCCTCCCTGACATCCCCTTTGCCCGGGCGTTTGACGATGCCACCAAGGTGCGTTCCTCACTTGCCACGTTAGAAAATGGCGTGCCTCAGAAACTGCCTCTCAGGAGGCCTCCCTGACATGACATCCCCTTTGCCCGGGCGTTTGATGATATCAGCAAGGTGAGCTCATGGCACCTATCAACACGACTTCTGAGCCGCCTCAGGACTGTGCTAAGGTGCTTCAGAAATTTCCTTGCTGCAGGCCTTCCTTCCTGACATCCCCTTCCGCCACCAAGGCGTTTCACGAACGAGTTCCGTTTCACCTCTCAAATCTCGACCACGTCCAGTTGCATCCCACCAATGTACATCCCACCCACATGCTCTCTCCTAATATAAGCAGCATCTGTTTTCTACATTGGTGGTTTTCGTGCATTCCCAGTCAGCG